GTGTCAGCATACAGACAGACACCTTGATTTCAATGACAAACTCCTCTCAACATACAGATGGACACCCTGATTTCAATGACAAACTCCTATCAACATACAGACAGACACCTTGATTTCAATGACAAACCCCTCTCAACATACAGATNCCTCTCAACATACAGATGGACACCCTGATTTCAATGACAAACTCCTGTCAACATACAGATGGACACCATGATTTCAATGACAAACTCGTGTCAACATACAGACAGACACCCTGATTTCAATGACAAACTCCTGTTAACATACAGACGGACACCTTGATTTCAATGTGAGGAACACACTTTAGAGTATAACTGAGGTCAAACCAATATCTACCATACTCTTGAGAGAGACACTGTGCTCTCTCGTCGTTTCGTTGTACTCCATGCGCCCGTTGTCGTTAAGCAATTTGCCAGAGTTCTCCTTAAATAGGTGTGGATTTTCACATTCCTGTAGTCTGCTTAGCTGGCGCTCACTGTAGATAAACATCAGCAAATGAAAACTGTTTCCAATAAAAAAAAATAATAGGATGGGGGGAAATATGATGGCCTGGACTGAAATTTTTCCAAAGAAATCTTTTTACTCATATCTAACAAAAGTGATATTTTAAAGATTGTTTTTTGTCTTCAGATGATTATTTTCAATCATCACACAAAAAACTATCTTACTTTTCTTACAACTGTCACTTTTTGAAACTTGAATATAAGTATGATGTTCAAAATTGTCATAGAAAAACCATCTTCTGAATCAGCTGTTTCAGTTTTTTTTACATTTTTTTTTTACTTTTTTTTTTTTACTTTAATTTCCTTAATGTTATTGTCAGTGTTAATAGTCTTTGGTATTGAAGGAGGTAACTCTAGAAGATTCAAATAGATAGTTGTGAGTGTTTTAATATTATTTCAGATATTTCCTTAAACAAATTTGCAGTTCTTGCACTATGGTACGTAGGTAACAAATAAAATACAGTCCATATCCCCTGTGACCCAAAATGTAAACGATAAAAGATAAAATTCCTCTACTAACAAGTCTGAAGATCTATGACTAAACAACCAGACTATATACCAGAATCTACTTGGCTACAGTAACAGAGGTTTTAATTGTATTATCCTCACCTCAAGAGGACTGCTGTAACCTTTCGGGGATCCATGTATATTTTCAGTTTGTTACCAAGCATGAGCCTCACTTTGGCAGTGAACTTGTTGTTGACCTTCAGAATCTGAGGAGGCTGACATTCCACTATGAAGGCACTGTAAGAACAAAGAACATGTCAAACTGTCTAACAAGGCAGAGTATCACAAGCAATCAATAGTCCTTTACCTCCAGAAAAACTTACAGTAGGAAACATAAAGGAAGGGCTATAACCCTGTTTAAAGTAACTAGGCACATGACATCCAAAGATGTACAACATACAAAGTTCAGTAATTATATAAAAGGTAACATAGTATATGGGTTATACTGTTTATGAGGGTGAAATGTCTCGTCTTTCCATCTTGTTCTCACAGTTATTTTCCCCTTTATACATATACACTTTAATAAAACTGATTTGCAAGCATACTCACAGAATAGCTTATATGTTTTATAGTTCCACAGTCAATAGTTTATATAATATTACAGGTCAGTGAGAATGTTGATGATAGTTCTACAGTTTATAGTTTATATAATATTACAGGTCTACCTTCTGACCAGGCCAGTGAGAATGTTGTTGACAGAACCCCTCAGTCTGCTCACAATGTCCTGTATCCCTTGTGGAACGTCAATCGGAAAATCTTGTCCAAAGGATTCCATTTGGGAAACCTGGTTTCGATTTTTCCATGTCAAGTCTGCTAAGCCTTCAAACCTGTTACATAGGAAATGTGATGTGACTTTCCTGCTTCAATGTCGTCAAATCCTAACCAGTGTTCAAATGCTTTAAATAATTCAAATATCATGATGTATAATAATGATAATAATAATTTGCGGTTCTTATATACTGCTTTATCACAACCTATGTCGTAAGTCGTCTCAAAGTGGTTCACAAATTATTATCCGTGGTTATAGGGCCTTTGCAACCAGCCAATATTTTTTCAACTCCCTGGGGAGCATACAGCCGGTGCTGCCATTTCGGCGCTCACGGCTAACATTCAACAATTCTAGCATTGCCCACAAACTCATTTACAGCTGAGTAGACTGGAACAAGCGTAGTAAAGCATCTTGCTCAAAGTTACAACACAGTGCTGTGACTCGAACCTGCAACCCTCCGGTCGCAAGCCCTGTGTCCTACCACTATAGACTACCATGCCTCCAAATATAGGTAAATACATATGTGTGATCTGAGACCAATGGAGTAACTACTGACGTTAAATGTTGGAACTAGTCAAACAATTGATCAGTTACAAATGTATATTGATAATCTATAACTAACCAGTTTTGTATGGTAGCCAGAGCTCGAGTGTCAAATTCTGCTCCGTTGCCTGCCAACCTTTGTTGCCGATTCCATGACAATACTTCCTGATCCACCAGTTGTTGTAGAACTTCAAGTTCAGAATGTGTCTTCTGGAAATTTTCTGTAAAATCCTGAAGATCAACAATATCATTGGCAATATGATAATTAAGGAATCATCCTAAAATTTAACACCTGTCTGTCTGTCTCTCTTACATTTATACATGTATTTAGTTGGGGAGACTTCATAAACTGTCAACAACATAAATATAAACAGACATTATTTGTGTAGAAGTTAAAAGAAGGGGAACAAAGGTCAAGAGGCCCAAAAGGCTGTACTGCTAACCTTGATCTGTAGCAATTAGGGAAAAATATTCTCATTAAAAGCAATATTCAAAATATTTCTCCATTTTGGGCTCCAGCTACAGGACAACACCATTGTTTCACATATCATTTGATTCACATGTACATTGTGGAAAGGACCAAGGATTTTTTATGGCAAATTTGTTTGGGATTTCTCTGTGTCTATGGTTATGGGGTAGGGATCTCAATCGTTTTGGGGTAGGGATCTCAATCGTTTCGGGGTAGGGATCTCAATCGTTTCGGGGTTGGGATCTCAATCGTTTCCATGTTACGACAAAGGGTTTGGCAGCATATTTGTGTTGGTTCCTTCTTACCCAGCCAGGGTACCATACATGGTTTAAGAATTGGGATCTTAATTATTTTAAGTTATTACCAAAGGAACGTATGTGACCTTAACAGTATAGGTCAAAGTCATTACAAGAGAAAACTTTATTTCACTTTCCAGGTATATACAATGTAGTGGCCAAATAACAAACTTATTAGTTCTTTGAGCTGGAAACAGACTAATTTTTTACTCTTTACATTTGACATTTGACCAGCACTAAATAATAAAACACATTTTAAGAAATGTATTTACACAGCTCGTCTACAATACATATCCAATTGTGTCATGTCTCTAGACCTTTAATTGCCTATTAGATAGTGTTTAACGTTACAACAAAGGACTATGTATGGTTTGGGCTTTTTTTGGCCCCCAAATCCATCAAAATTAAAAATCTGCAATAGAACTTTCAAACGAATGTTTCTTTAATTTTGAATACTTCCCCAGTACTATTATGAAAATATTTATTTGTGTTTTCAATTTTGGCTGCCATGGTAACCAGGTCATATTTGCATAAATGATTGAAATTTGATATTCAGTCAATTTTGACAGGTTTTCACCTAGTTTTTCTCTTAGCTACCATAGAGCGCACTCTTGAACAAACTTTATATTTCTCCCAAAGATGTATTACAGGTGCCTACACATTATTCTTGGATATTAAGTTTGTTCAAGCATGCGCTCTATAGTTTCTAGGAGAAAAACTATGCAAAATATCCCAATATTCACTGAATATTCAAATTTTTCTAATTTATGCAAATTTGAACTTGTTACCATGGCAACAATAATTAGAAATATAAATATTTACATAATAGTGTTTAGGAAGTATTTAGAAATTAAAGAAACAGTCATTTCAAAGTTCATTTAAAGGTTTTGAATTTTGATGCATTTGGGGGCCAAAACAGGCCCAAACCATACATAGTCCTTTGGTTTAAATATACAAGACAAAGATTTGGAATCCTGGTCTACATAACATACCCAGGTGTTACAGCTTTAGACCTTATACTGCATAGGATTATTATGTTTGAAATAATTAACATGTGGGAGACATACAAATATCATTCCAGATATTGTTGAATAAGTGAAATTTCAGGATTTCAACACAATTGTACGTCCTTACCAGTCGTATCTGTACAAGTTGTGACGCCATATCCTTTATGGTATGATTGATATCCTGTGACATTCGAGTTAGATTAGTCCTCTGGTTCATGCATACCATGAGATTTTGCTGGTATATGTCAGAGGCCATACTTCCAGAGGTATTCTGAATATTATGGAGCTGATTCTCAACCTGTTGTGTTTGGACTGTAAAAATAGTTAAAACACTTTTATGTTTAACAAAATAATTAAAAAGCATGTTATCTCCTAATAATTTAATCTTGCTTGTAACAAGCATTTTCATTGGCTTAAAATTTATGTTATCAGCCCATAACATAAAAAATGACGTCGCCGTTTGTAATGTCGCTTTTGATTGGCTGATACAGAAGCACAATAATTTCTAAGAGAAAAGAGTCCATCAATAAATGTGGATTTCCACAGGGATTGTGTATAGTAGATTTAATTATAAGGATTAACTTGAATATATTTTTCATGTTATGGAACTATAACACAAAAAACTGGAGTGTACTCTCATCAAATAAGCTGTTTATGATGAGAGTACACTCCGTTTTTTTGTGTTATAGTTCCATGACATGAAAAATATATTCAAGTTAATCCTTAATACCTCTCAAATAAGAGATCCTAGAGGTATCTTGGAGCCCACTTCATAGTATGTCCATTAGAGCCATAAGGATGAGCCCACTTCACAGATAATATGTCCATTAGAGCCATGAAAGAGGAGCCCACTTCATAAGATGTCCATTAGAGCCATGGAAGATGAGCCCAATTCATAATATGTCCAAAAGAGCCATGAAAGATGGGCCCACTTCATAATATGTACATTATAGCCATGGAAGATGAGCCCAATTCATAATATGTCCAAAAGAGCCATGAAAGATGCGCCCACTTCATAATATGGCCATTAGAGCCATGAGAGATGAGCCCACTTCATAATATGTCCATTTGAGTCATGGAAGATGAGCCCACTTCATAATATGTCCATTTGAGTCATGGAAGATGAGCCTACTTCATAATATGTCCATTAGAGCCATGAAAGATGAGCCTACTTCATAATATGTCCATTAGAGCCATGGAAGATGAGCCTACTTCATAATATGTCCATTAGAGTCATGAAAGATGAGCCCACTTCATAATATGTCCATTAGAGCCATGAAAGATGAGCCCACTTCATAATATGTCCATTAGAGCCATGAAAGATGAGCCCACTTCATAATATGTTCATTAGAGCCATGAAAGATGGATCCTTTTCATTTATTTGTTTTCTTTTCTCATATCTGTTGGATCTATAGACTTGTTAAAAGTAAATGCATCTTGTGGAAACTCTTGATTGAAATTTCATACATCTGGGTTTCTTTCAAATAAGGCCATGGTTTATTTCTTGACAATAAGCGATAACAACCTTGAGCTGTCAAAATCCAAGAAAGCTAACTGGTGGCCATCTTGGTTTTTCATATCAGACTCAATATGAAACATGTGCAGCTGAGGACCATGGGGAAGCTACATATGAAATAATTGAAAAACTTGTAAAGAATTTCATGAAAAATAACATAACAAATTTCGACTATCAAAATCCAAGATGGCTGCATGATGGCCAAAAATGAAACATGAACAATTCAGACCAAATGGAGCTACATGTACACATGAAATTTAAGAAAGATATGTCAAGTACTACTTGGAAAAAAAGCAATAATAATCTTGACCTCTTAAAATTCAAGATGGCTGTCAGCCAGACATCTTGTTTTCTTCATCAGTCTTGAATTGAAATATGCACAACTCAGGATTGAAAGGAAGCTGATGTGAAATTTGAGATAGGACTGTCAAGGTCTTTTTGAGAAATAGTGATAACAAATTTGAGCTCCAAATATGGAAGATGGCTGCCTTGCAGCTATTCTTTTTTCTGGTAACATCAACACGAAACATGCACAACTGTGTACCACTGGGAAACTAAATATGAGAATTCAAGAAAGATCTTTATGAGAAATCTTCCCCAGCAATTGTAACAAGCATTGTATAAAGACGGACGATGGACATACAGTTAGAGGTTTGGTGTCCTTTCTTTAAAACCTGATTTTAAAATTTTCAACTCTGGAAGGACCCTAATCTATCAAAGGATTAGTTCTACGCATATTGATGCCCATTGAAATATGCACAACTATATTCTCTGACCTGATGTTATCAGCTATATACACTGTAACACCAGGTCAGAGAAACTCCTTAAATTGAAATAATTGAAATAATAGGGTTAAACAAGTTATAAACTCCTTAAATGACACCAGAAGTACGCTGACATTAAATATTAGCTTGCTAAAGGTGTACATCCAAATACATTTTTGAGAATTACTTGAAAATTTACAAATATTGTTTGTGTTTGTAATCTTCATCATGACTGTTTTTAATCCTTTTTGTCTACTAGTCAGTGATCTTATGTACCTTAAATCTGGGACTTTTTGTCTACTAGTCAGTGATCTTGTGTACCTTTAATCTGGGACTTTTTGTCTACTAGTCAGTGATCGTATGTACCTTTAATCTGGGACTTTTTGTCTACTATATATGTATAGTCAGTGATCTTGTGTACCTTTAACCTGGAACTTTTTGTCTACTAATCAAAGATCTTATGTACCTTTAAACAGGGACTTTTTGTCTACTAGTCTGAGTGATCTTGTGTACCTTTAATCTGGGACTTTTTGTCTACTAGTCTGAGTGATCTTGTGTACCTTTAATCTGGGACTTTTTGTCTACTAGTCTGAGTGATCTTATGTACCTTTAATAAATGAAATCAGGGACTTTTTGTCTACTATATATATATAGTCAGTGATCTTGTGTACCTTTAATCTGGGACTTTTTGTCTACTAGTCAGTGATCTTATGTACCTTTAATCTGGGACTTTTTGTCTACTAATCAGAGATCTTATGTACTGTTAATCTGGGACATTTTGTCTACTAGTCAGTGATCTTATGTACCTTTAATCTGGGACTTTTTGTCTACTAGTCTGAGTGATCTTATGTACCTTTAATCTGGGACTTTTTGTCCACTTTCAGTGATCTTATGTACCTTTAATCTGGGACTTTTTGTCTACTAGTCTGAGTGATCTTATGTACCTTTAATCTGGGACTTTTTGTCTACTAGTCAGTAATCTTATGTACCTTTAATATAATCTGGGACTTTTTGTCTACTAGTCAGTGATCTTATATACCTTTAATCTGGGACTTTTTGTCTACTAGTCAGTGAGCTTATATACCGTTAATATGGGACTTTTTGTCTACTAGTCAGTGATCTTATGTACCTTTAATCTGGGACTTTTGTCTACTCTCAGTGATCTTATATACCTTTAATCTGGGACTTTTTGTTTACTAGTCAGTGATCTTGTGTACCTTTAATCTGGAACTTTTTGTCTACTAATCAAAGATCTTATGTACCTTTAATCTGGGACTTTTTGTCTACTAATCAGAGATCTTATGTACCTTTAATGTGGGACTTTTTGTCAACTAGTCAGTGATCTTATGTACCTTTAATCTGGGAGTGCTTCTGACGTGTAATTATTAACTGTTTAAACTTTTCATCCAGTGTCTGCAGATAGTTCTGTGTCACCTGAAACATTTGGATTTCCCATTAACTTTATTTTATATGCATTCAATTTACTTTGATACAAAATGACATACACTTTCAGTAATTCTTAGGCTGTATTTATTTTACCTGTAAATTTCCTATACATTGATTGTCTCTAAATATATTGTCTTTGCTCACAATTGTCATTGCCTTGTAATTATTTCTTCTGAATTGCCTACCCTGTCATTTTCTATCACATAATTGCCTCCCTTGTCTACACAGAAATTGTCTACACAGTCATTGTCTACACAGTAATTTCTACACAGTAATTGTCTACACAGTAATTGTCTACCCAGTAATTGTCTACACAGTCATTGTCTACAAGGTAGTTGTCTACACAGTCATTATCTACACAGTAATTTGTCTACACAGTCATTGTCTACACAGTCATTGTCTACACAGTAATTGTCTACACAGTAATTGTCTACACTGTGATTGTCTACACATTAAATTTCTTTCCAGTAATTGTCTATGCTGTAATTGTCTACACAGTAATTGTCTACACAGTAATTGTCTACACAATAACTTTCTATCCAGTAATTGTCTACACAGTAATTATCCACACAGTAATTATCTACCCAGTTATTTTCTGCACTGTAATTTTCTTTCCAGTAATTGTCTACACAGTAAATTGTCTACACAGTAATTGTCTACACAGTAATTGTATACACAGTAATTATCTACCCAGTTATTTTCTGCACTGTAATTTGTTCTTTCCAGTAATTGTCTACACAGT